ATTCAAATAAATTTTACTTGGTTCAAATAAATTATATTTGATTCAATTAAACTCTATTTGGTTAAAATAAATAATTTAGTAAACACTGAGCCAATTAAATGCTATTTGCTTAAAATAATAATTTATTATTGCTGCAAAGAAAATTTTTTTAATAACTAATAAGTAATCGGTTATTTGATTTAAATAAATTTTTTTTCAGTATAAAAAATACGCATAGTCAAAAAAAAAGAAAAGTTTAAAAAAAACGTTAAATTGGAAAATTCATTTTCGCAAAAAGAGAAAAAAAGAATTCACACATAAATAAATGACTCTGTGAATAATGACAAATTATATAATAATTTTTAGTGAATTAAATAACTTGTATCTAGTTTGGAATTCAATGAATCGTTCGTCATTTAAACAAAATGTATTTTTGGATTCATGCCAATCGTATACTATATAACGCGCAGCTATAGTTTTTGAAACCCACACAAATTCCAATACAGAGACTTCTTTTTTTTTTTTTTTTTTTTTGATGGGGAAAAAAAAATTTGTTATAATTTGAAATTTTACTTTGGTTATTTAAAAAAATAATGAAATTATTATGAATATCACTCAGATATAAATTTATACATAAATATAGGTAGGAAAAATATTTTTTAAAAGAATACGGAAGCTGTATAGCTGCAGGGGGTCGAAGGCCAGGTGGCTTCAATCCAAGTTCTATCATCAGTGTTGTCAAGATTGCTTTAAACTGTAAGACGATCTCCTCCGTGAAGAAATTACCGGAAGAAATCTGCTTCCAGTTATATATATATATACATATATATGTAATTTTTCTAAGCTTGCCTTTTGTTTAAATTTTTTTATTTTTTTTACCGTTAATAATAAAAAAGAGGAAAAGTAATAATAATAATGCATCTAGAAAAAGATAAATTTGAGTTAGAGCCTACTAAATTTTTTGTTTGTTTTAAATCAATTTTGTTTACTTAAAATTGAATTTTATTTTTTATTTTTTTAACTAAATTTTATATACTTTGAATCTAAATTTTATTTGGTTCAAAGAAACACTTTATTCGTGTCGAATAAAATTTTTATTTAAAACAAAAAAATAATCCAGTTGGCTCTAAGACAAATATACTTTTCTTTAATTCAAGTAATTATATATTTGATTAAAAAAAAAAAATTTCCTCTGGATGTAGTAATAATACGAATAATAGTAATAAGCAAAATAATAGTAATGAATTAATGATATAAATAATAGTCACAAAAATAATAATAGTAATAGTAAAAATAGTAGTAATAAAAATAGTAATAATAAAAAAATTGTAGTAAAAATAATAGGAGTAATAATAATAGTAGGTAGTAATAAAAATAAAAATAGTAATAATAAAAAATAGTAGTAAAAATAATAGGAGTAATAATAATAAATAGTAGTAAAAATAATAGTAGTAATAATAATAAAAAAATAATTAAAATAGAAGCAATAAAAATAAAAAAAAAAATTAAAAATAATAGTAATTAAAAAATATAATAGTAATAATGATAGTAGTAAAAAATGTTGGTTTTTAAAAAATTCTGGTTATCATTTTCAAATAATTATATAAAATAGAAAACATATTTTATTTCTCAAGAAAATATTGTGTGCATGGGTATAATAAATTTTATAAATAGAACGTGCGTAGATTGCGCATAATTAGAAGAGTGTCAGAAATTAGAGCAACAACGTTTGAAGACAGTGATGATCATTAATGTCAAAATTGTACAATGCCAAAAATCTGGCACTGAAAATTATTGTCATAAATTTTGATCTATTGTTAAATCAATTTTACTGAGTTTCACTGTTATTGCTATATTTATTTGTAAATTTAGTTATTGTTTTCTTCAAGTACAAGTAGATTAAGTTTAATTAAGGCAAGAGTTTTGAAAAAAGTTGTTAAAAAAAAATTGTTCAAAAAAATTATTTATTAATTTGTTTGATTCTGAGCGAGCATTAATTATAATTTTTGACTTTGGAGTAGGATTTGTATAATTAATTTTCTATTTTATATACATACAAAAGTATATGGTAAAATTAACTTTGTTTGATAGGATTTTCGCAATTGAATTCTTTCTCAATTTTTAAATTTTCGTTCTTTTTTTCTCTTTTGTACTAATTTTTATATTAAAGTTTTAATATTTCATTCAGTAGGTGCAAAATTTTTTTATTATTCTTTTAGTGAAATAGTGAAAAAAATACTTTTTACTGAAATTAATAGAATTTTTATTAATTTAAATTAATGGAATTTTTATTAATTTAAATTTGTGAAAATTTTTACTATAATTTAAAATGGTGAAAATTTATTTATTTATAAATTTATATTCAGGAAATAATTTTAAATAAATTTAGAAATTATATTTGTTCGAAATCAGTGAAATTTGTAATAAATTGTAGTAAAATTGTAATAATTTTAGTAAATTTCACTGAAAATTTTGGTAAAAAAAATTCTCAATTTCTAAATTAAACATCAAATTAGTAAAACTTGTAATAATTTTAGTAAATTACGTTGAAAATTTAGTAGGTACAAAAATTTTCAACTAACTAAATTAAATAGTTAAATACTGCTAAAAGTTAGAAAATTTTTAGGATAAATTTTTACTAATTTAAATTAGTGGATGAATTTTTTCAATATTAATTTAAATTTAGAAAGTATATAGGTACATTTACAACAATTAATGATCGAAATTATTTTAAACACGGAGAAAACGAATAAAGTAATTTTTACTGTACTTTTCAGTAAAACTTAAACTGATAAGAATTTCTGTGCATTTCTTTAACCAATTTGTATGTATATTATTTCCGAATAAATAAATTTTCTTTCTCTATAAAGAGTTTTAGAGAATTCGCAAATATCAACGAATTTTTTTCAATTTAAATTTTAAATGTTTTTCAAAAATTACTATACTGAAATGAAAAAAAGTTAAATAAAATATTTAGTTGTAGGTAAACGTTATTGTTTACAATATTATTTATTAATTTATTATAATTCGGTATTTTTTCCAAAACGATATTTTAATAAAATTAAAAAGGAAGTGATAAAAATATGGTCGCACATTAAAACGTTCAAAAATTTTAAGAGCGCAAATTTTGGTAAAAAATTATTAAACTGCAATTTTAGCAGCAAAATTAATTCTTTGGAAATAATAAAATGTAATTTTAGCAGCAAAATTAATTCTTTGGAAATAATAAAATTTAATTTTAACAACAAAATTTACTCTTTTAAATAGTAAAGTGTAATTATGTTAGTTTAAATTTATTTTTCGGAAATTGTATAGAAAAGATGTCAGAAAACAGAAGTTGCAAACAATTTGGGTTTTTATTAAAGTATAAACAACAGAACTATATTTTTTTGTATTTTTCTAGTGGCTTTAGATTCAATTGTTTTACAGCATCAATTACTGATTCTTCCTATTGACTTAACTTATAAAATTCCATTACTCACTATAAATATTTGTAGCGAGTTTGTATAGATTTTTATAGTTAGCATCGTTTATACATTTATAGTTTATAGATTTTTAATAAAAGTTTTGATTTTTGAGTAACATTTAGAAATCTAAGGAAACAGTTAAAAAATTTGAAACTTCAAGCAAACTGACAGATGATGCTTTCAGTATTAGTAAATCACTGTTCGATGCTTTGAATTTTTCGACAAATAATTCAGACACAAAAGTAAACCAATAATTTTTTAAATTTGACACTATTCTAAAAGTAGCTTGAATTATTGCTTGAAAATTAAATATTTCTTAACATTCCTTAGAGCTACTTAAAAATCAAAACAGTTATTAAAATTCTCTATAGCGAAAAATATTTTTATAAGTCAGTAGAAAAATTCGGTCACTGCGATAATAAACATGTGAATGCTCAACTAAAAATTCCAAAACTGTTTCAAAAATTAGGGAGAGTTAATGGTTTAACAAGAATTAAAAATTAGTAACAAAATTTACAGTTCCACAAGCGAAAAATTAATTTTAGGTTTATTAATATTAAAGACAATTAATTGTTAATTACTATCAAGTTTTACTAATGTATAACCGAAACTGAATCCATCATTAAGCTAAAATTACGCATATTGATTTAACCATGGTCTTTTTTCGGAATAAAATTAAAGTGTCTGTCAGTTCGCACAATTTTTTTTTAATCTTCGAATCTTCCTGAAGTTTAGCGTCGAAAACTACTAATTTGGGTTTCTAGAGATGAAAATGGCATTAATTTCCAATATTTCAATCATTTATATGATTTTTTAAACAATTGAGGCTCCGGATCTTAAAAGGGCACTTTCAGCATTCATTTTAAATGGTAAAAGTGCCCTTGTAAGATTCGGAGCCTCAATTATTTATTTTGTTTGATTCTTTCCGATTTTATCGAAGGAACAAATTTTTTGACGCACAGCGTCGACGCTAAATTTTGGGACCTAACTTCGATTGGTTAGTCAGAAGGTGTATAAAACTGTTAGGACTGCCCACTGTCCCTAGTTAGGACCCCAGTTGTACTAAGACTACAATACAAATGCTGTTCGCAATTATGCGCCTCTGAAATCTTCAAAAACTTAAGACAAAAACGTATCAAAATTGTGGCTACAATACAAAACATTTTTGTCTCAATTTGATAGTCTTAGTACTAAAATTATTGCTAAAATTTTGATATGTTTTAGTCCCAATTTTATGTCCTTAGAAAAACTGTGCGCATACGGAAATTTTTTCCTAACAAAGAAGGTGTGTACAAAGAAGTTATAGGTACAGATCTGCTATCCGTAAAAAGCATATAAGTAACGAATCTGGACCTTATGCGGCAACGGTTATAGCATTTGCCGCATAAGGTCCGGATTCAGACCTTAATTCGGAAATTAATAGTCGCAAATGTGATTATTAATTTTTTACCTTGAACAATAGAGATGAGGATTAATTTTAATTTATTCAGTATTGTTTCGAGATGAATAGACAAACGGATAATATGTTTAAATATACACATCATGGAAACATACCTCGCATACACAGGCGACCTGCTCCTGTGTAAATCCAAAACTTGGCAATTGACCATTGCCGACGGCACCGCCACCGGCGGAACTCGCTGGACTGTCTTGGGGACTGTATACCTGGAGAGATAAACTCTCCGTTGCTCCAGATGAATGATTTAAAGGCGCTGGAGTGCCCCTTGGACTGTAATCCGGCGTTGATCCAAGGACATCCGAACTGCTCGACGATGCCACTAATCCGGCACCGCTTACTCCTCCGTAGGCCATCATCGCCTCATCTCCTATTATTCCACTCACACTCTCCCCCCCGATTCTATTCCTTCCACCCTCCACTGTGATTCACATTCAACTTTTGTCCACTCACCAGAGAATTAATATTTCTTCTCTCTATTTCCTGTATTATTGACCCAAACCGATCCGATAAATGCTCTTCTTTATAACTCTCACTCGCGATTTTTATATGTTACGCACAAATCCTAACTTGTGATCGTTTATGCCTCATCGTCATTTCTGATGTTAAGGGGGGTGGTTTTGGTTGTTCTGTTGAGGGGGATTTCGGGTTTTAGGGTTTTTCGAAGTTGTGCTGATGACATCGTCTTTTTCGGTTTACTTCTGTACTTTCTGCTTTACTTTCTGCTTTGCTTTTTGCTTTGCTTTCTTCTTTACTTTCTGCTTTCGTCTTTACTTTTCCTTCTTCTTCTTTTGCTGAAATTGGCGAAGAAGCCGATATTTTTAGGAAGGCGACGGTTAGTCTGGAGTATGATGGATTTTCCTTTTCTAAGGACCTTCGTGGACCTTAAGCAAAAGTTCGGAATCGGATCGGAAAAGAATTGATACTCGATCGATTGTCTTAATTTGCGCGTGGTAGATGTCTTCCTTCTCTAAATACTATGTGGACGCTAAAGCTTTCGATCGACTTACTTCCCGAGTTGAAAGAGAGCGAATAGTGATCCGAAAGCTGGGTCTCGTATTTCCACGGGCAGAATTACGTTGTATTTATAGCCGCCTGGCTTCCAACGCGAACGCACCGTCTATTATTAGGATCTCGCGTGCAACTTGTGCCGGCGCACAATTCGCGAATCTTCTCTCGCACTTATTTCCCAAATGGCTTTTCTCTAATCTCGATAAATTCCTCTCATCATCCACTATTTTTCTACTCCACTATATTCTCCACTATGTTCTCTACTATGTTCTCCACTTTCTTGACAATTTGGAGCAAAAATCTCAATCTCAAAAATTGTAGCATTAGTACAGCATTGGCACAGCATTAATGCATCATGATTGCATCTTTAAATGCTGCAATGTTTATCACTTGTCACTTCTCTTAACATTTGTTTGTTTACAACTTCCATTTGTTTAATTTTTTTAAAAATCTTTTCAAAAAAATAAGTTTCTTTTGGAATAAAAATTCATGTGGGGGGAAAAATTGGTTTTATTTTTTGGGAGGGATTTAAAGATGGGGGCAAAAGAAGATGTTATTGTTGGGACCAGCAACACTCATCCAAATAGGAACCGGAGAAGACTGCCGGTTCTGGCAGAAGAGAAGAGAAGCTTTCCCTCCGATATGCGCCTGCACGAGTTCATTCGGTTTGGGCGGAGCAAACAGCTGACAGCTTTGTGAATTTGCTCTTGGGATTGGTTGTAGGTGTGGTATCAGCAACCATGTCGTTCTGAGAGTGGCTATTTTACTCTCTTTGGTGAGTGAATCTCGTTACACCTCCGTTGTACGCTCATTTCTATCGTGCACGAATCGAAATGACTCAAATAAAGAGTTTCTTTTTGATTCTCTATCTTTTTCTCTCTCTCTCTCTCTCTCTCTCTCACTCACTCTTTCTGTATACATGTGAAATTCGACATTTATTTTATCTTACTCCAATATCATTATAGTCCATTCTTTTTCGAGTAAAACTTATTATTGTGTGTCAAAAAAGTTATTCTTTTTGAGATATATATTGGATAAGTTGTTGAGTTTTGTTTGGTTCTTTAATATAGTTGTTTAATGATGAATTTGGGCGTAAATCTTTCGTGGGAGAATTTTGGATAAATCATTTCTTTTTTAGTTGAGTTGTGATCCTGTGAGGATGAAGCAGATTTGTTTCAGTTTGGTTATATTCTTTGGGGTTTTTGTTTTGTTTTGGTTATTCTTTTGGGTTCTTCTGCTTCTTTTGCGCTTCTTTAGGAGGAAGGATTGTTTTGAATGTTTGTTGTCCTTTTGGAAAAAATTGCGATTTACGATAAGAAATTATAGGTGATGCCAAATTGTGATGTTGTGTCAACAAAACTGATGTATATTTTTTTTTATTTTCAAAACTATAAGACATCAATTTTGCCGTAGAATTTTGTCCGCACTGAATTGTAAGGAATTATTTCCTAACTGTAATCGAAGTTTTTGCCAAAAATTTTGTATAGGAAATATTTTCTTTCGCAATTTGAAATTTTTTTTATCAAGTTCGAAAAAACATCAGAAATTGGAAAGGTATATTTTTCTTAAAGAAAGCCAAAATTTTTCCAAATTTTAGACGACTTTTTCGATTTGTTTTTCAAGTATTGCAACAAAATACTATTTTTCTTTGTCAAAAATACAAATTACTTCGATTTATATGTAGTGTAAAAAATTACTACCTATAGTAAAATATATATCTACATAAAAATTTATTTTTCATTACTTTTTCTCTAATTTAATTGAATTTTCGAAATAATTAATTAAAAAAAGCCTTAATACTTGAAATTTTGTAAAATTTTATTAAAAATAATTGATTTTTTTTAGGTATTTCCATTATACTTTTAGAAACAAAAATTTTGGATAAATTTTAATTGCAAATTTTAAAAATAATTGAATTCTCAAAAATTGCAATGAAAAATCAAAATGAAAATTAGTTTTAAAAAAAGTATATTAAGAAACTAGGAATTATTTTCATACTTGCGATTAAAATTCTTCAAAAACTTGATTTTTTCAGTATTTTTCAAAAATTCTTTTAAAAAAATTCAATTATTATTGTTAAATTTTTTTACTAAATTTCAATTATTTGGAATCTTTCAAATATCTATATAATTAAAAACTTACAATCATTCAAAACTTATTTTTAAATATTTTTGAAAAATTTATTTTAAGAAATTTATTTATTATAATTTCTTTACATTTAAATGGTTTTGAAAAATGTTTGGAAAATTATTAAAACTAATTGTTTCAGAGAAGAAGTTTACTAATAAAATAAACGACTTTTCCTACTTTTTTTAAATCTACAAAAATAAATAAATAATTTATTGAACGATTGCATGTTTCTTAAAATTAAATTCTCATAAAAAATTTTATCAACAAATTTTTAAATAATTGAAATCTTTTGACGAATTTTAATACAATTTTTAAGAAAAATTACATTTTTCGATGAATTAGATTAAAATTATTAAAAATAATTGATTAATTTCTGGAAAATTTTTATTGTTTATAAAAATAATTGTTTGCGTAGAATTTTATTAAAATTTTTTTTAAATAATTGAATTCTTTTGGAAAATTTTATTAAAATAGTAGATATTGAAAATCATTGAATTGAATTGAATTTTTTTTTTTTGAAAAATTCATATTAAGAAATTTTTTTATTATAAATTTTTTTTAATTTAATTGTTTTTAATATTTTTGGTTATTTGTTTTTAATAAATCATCTTAATAACTTTAAAGGGAAATCATGAATTGAATTTTCATATTTAAATAATTGAATTCTCGAAAAACTTTCGGAAAATTATATTAAAAGTATAATTGTTTCAGAGAAGAAGTTCAGTAATAAGATAAACGACTTTTTTGTACTTTTTTTAAATCTATAAAAATAAATAAATAATTTATTGAATAATTTAATATTAACTGAATATCACGAAGAATTTTATCAACAAATTTTTGAATAATTGAAATCTTTTGACGAATTTTAATATTTTTAAGAACAATTACATTTTTCGATGAATTCGATTAAAATTATTAAAAATAATTGAAATTCTGCGATGAGTTTTATTATTCATGAAAATAATTGAATTGCTAAAAAAATTAATTATTTAGGAAAATAATTGAATTAGTACAAAGAAATGTTTGAAAAATTTGTAAATAATTGAATTTCTGGAAAATTTTTATTGTTTATGAAAATAATTATATGTTTGCGTATAGAATTTTATTAAAAATTTTTTTTAAATGATTGAATTCTTTTTGGGAGATTTTATTAAAATGGTAGATATTAAAAATCATTGAATTGAGGAAAATTTTTGAAAATAATTGACTTTTTGTAGAATTTTTTAATTTTTTTATAATGATAGTTGGAATTTTGACGAGAATTTTTAAATATTTTTCAACATTTAATCAACATCTAATCAAATTCTTTCAAAATTGAAATTTTATAAAATTTCAAACTAAAACTTTTTGAGGTTCATTTATTTATGAAATGAATAATTTTCTTTAGAAATTATAGGATATAAATTTTGTTCTAGACATTATTGTCAATTTTTCATCAATTTTGAACTTTTGGTACGTTTTTTGTCTATCGACATTATGATATCCATCATAAAAAAACTGTGACAGTGTAAAGTAGCATTAAAAAATTGTTGAGCATAAAAAATGATGATGCACAACTAAAAATTAAAAATTGTCTCCTAACCGAAACTAGAAATAAACGAATCTTTTCAAATTGTAATAGTTGAAAAGCGTTAGGTTATAGTTAGGGGGTTTGCCCTCGAAGAAAAGAAATTGCGAAGGTCTTTGACTTTGACAGTGAAAGGTCAAGGGTGAGATGTCAAAAAAGTCAAAAAGTTAAGTATTGTAAAGATCATGAGGAAGGCGTTTGTATTTTATTTTATTTTATTTTTTTAAGAAACGTCATACATAACTATATCCGTCACATTATGGTGTCGACAGTGTCCTTATCCTGATTGGTAGTGAGTACCCTTCGTCATGCGGAAAAAGACATCGCAACGGGGGTTCCCCACAAAAATGACAGAACCACACAAAGACTAGAAATACGAAGATTTACATGGTTTTATCCAATCTACTTTTGTTCGCATCAACCTATTCCTTCACACATATGTCTGTATAAGTAACTATTACAATTTTACCATTTGTATATTAGTTATTCTAACGTGTGAAAATTTCCTCCGGAAGAAAAAGTGTAGATTTTAACTCCCAATAGTTTTTGAGTTAAAAATCTTCTTCAAAAGAAGATTTTGATTTTTTCGTTCCTAAATTTTTAACGCTCTAAACTAAATTTTTATTTCTTTTGCTTTATCCCCAAAAAGGTACAAATTTT